TAGCTTGACCCAAACTCTTGAGAATTTTTTTCGCCTCAAAACTCCACGCCTCAACTCTGGGGAGACCCCAGACACAATATTTATATATATATATATATTTATTTATTTATGACTATATGTCTTAACGGTTGCTGACGGGTTGTTGTGGTAAACAGGCCTTTTCTGGCTGGTTCTCAGTAGCTCATGGGGGCATGGGTTATTGTGACTACTATCGGGCACCTTAGTGGATTATCATCAGGATCCAATCTCCCATTCCCAACTAAGACTTTAGGGTTTAGGGTTTTGGGTTTAGGGTTTAGGGTTTAGGGTTTAGGGTTTAGGGTTTAACTAAGAACCAGGGAAGTTTAGGCCCTTAAACCCAAAACCCTAAAACCCTAAAACCCTAAATCCTAAACCGTCACTATAAGTCCTGGGAGCCGTGAGTCCTCGAGACTCCCAGCTTCACCCAAATTAGCCCATCTCTAAACCTCAAACCCTAAACCTCAAACCCTAAGCCCTAAACCCTAAACCCTAAACCCTGAACCCTAAACCATAAGCACCTACACCCTAAACCCTAAACCCTAAACCCTAAACCCTAAACCCTAAACCCTAAACCCTAAACCCAAGCCAAAGCCCTAAACCCGACCTTTGGGTCCAGTCTTTCGGGCGGAGGCTTGGGGATTTGAAGGCTCGAGTTTGGGATCTTACTTTTATGGGTTAGGGTAAAGGGTTTAGGGATTAGAGTTTAGGATTTAGGTTTAAGGGTTTAGAGTTTGGAGTTTAGGGCTTAGGGTTAAGGGTTAAGGGTTTAGAGTTTAGGGTTTAGAGTTTAGGGTCCAAGAGCGTTCAGGTAAATCATATTATAGGGACCCTGCAATGTTTATGAGGATTTAGTAGATGAATATATCCTAATTAGGCATCCTGGGTTATAACCCATAGCCAACCCAGAGGGCCCGAGTACCCAAATAGTAGGGTTCTAGGTCCCAAAATCCATACTCTGAGTGGTTTTTGGACCTTGAAACCCTCCTATTTGGGTACTTGGGCCCTTAGGCATATTATGAATATAGTATAGTACCATAAATCCCATAGTTTAGGTATATAAGGTTATGCTGGGCCTCCAAGAAGAGCATCAACTGTGTGGCAGGGTTTTGGGCTACACAGGAACATCCCGAAGCCCTCCCCTTTCATTATATGGCTGGTTGTCAAAATTAGGGTCCCTTTTGGGGTACCCTAAATATTAGGTGCCGTATTACACTCGGGACCCAAAAGGGGACCATATTTTTGACAACCTCCCATATGGAAGCCCTCTCCTTTTACTACTTGGCGTTCTTCTGGTTGGCTCTTAGGACTTTAACTTTTGGGTTTCTATATGAACCATAATAAGGAGGCTAAAAGTTTAACTTTTAGGAGGGGTGTAGAAGTCAGCCGAGATTATATGGAAGCCCAGATAAATGCCAACATTGTTCCGTATGCTCCCTTGTGAACAACATAGGATAATGCACCCCCGAGCCCTCTTCTGGTTCAGGCCCTAGACCCTGAGCCCTAAACCCTAAACCTCAAACCCTACACCCTAAACCTTAAACCCTAAACACTAAACCCTAAAACCTAAGCCCTAAATCCAATCCTTGCACCCCCGGCTCAGGTGATCAGCCAGAATTCTGCCATCAGCACTTGTGAGAGGCGTGGGCAGCAGTTCCATCGCTGGCTGCCGCCCACGGCCTCCAGTTGGATCTTTGGGCCAAGGACCTGAAAAAGTTGCGCAAGATAGGGCAGTGGAGAAGTTTATACTCGGGTTCAGGGTTTAGGGTTGGGGTTTTGGGGTTCCTTTCACTTGAAAAAGGGCTCACTGAAGGATATTGTGAGGGCTGTGGTTGAGGGTCTTCACAATTGGAATAGGGCTGTGGGGTTTGTTATACTGTACACATAATAAGGAGACCAATGAAAAACTATTATTGGTAATGACTCAGGCGTTTATGCGGGCTTCTGGGTCCGCAGTAGTTCCAGTTTTATCGTTTAGTTTGGGGTTCTCCATACTCGAGACGTACAACAGCAGGAGGAAGATACTGGCGAACATGCAACGCTCTGTGCCAAAGGTCCTGATTCCCAAACAGTACTCACAAAGGGTCCAAGTACTAGAATAGTATATGCTTTTGGGGCCCAAATACCTACTAAGTACCGACTATAAAGGTACTTGCACCCTATGGGACTGTAGGTCTTTCCGGTTTCAAGCTTGATCTGTTTCAATCTAGCGTTTAGGGTCTGCCTGGATCGGCCACTGTGCCTTGAAAAGACATACGCCTCAGAACCTTGAGCGCGGTTCCCTTGTTTGGACTACTTTGATGACACTAGGTTGGAGATTTGTCGGGATTTTCGAGCTTCCATCATGCTGCAAGGTCCTGCGTTTGGAATCCACGCCGTTTGCTTTTACCAGGGTTGCAAAAAGCGACTGAAACCTATATCAGCTTAGGGTCCGAGTACCCAAACAGTAGGGTTTTAGGTCCCAAAATCCATTCTCTGAATGGTTTTTGGACCTTGAAACCCAACTATTTGGGCACTTGGACCCTTAGGGATATTATGAATATAGTATAGTACCATAAATCCCATAGTTCAGGTATATAAGGTCATGCAGGATTTTGTCCGTCAGCCGTATGAATATAGCTGTTAAGAAGAGTAGCGCTTCGCCCGCGACCAACCCCGAAGCGAATCCGCAGACGCCCGCCTCAAGGGTAGGTGCACTGTCTTTGTCTACTACGGTTTAGGGTTTAGGGTTTAGGGTTTAGGGTTACATGGGTAGCTCCCGAAACCAGGGTCCCTCTTAGGATCCTTTTTATGAAGGTGCGGTACTGTTTTGGGGACCGAGCAAGGGACCCAAAAATGCGAGTTGCTTACCATTCGTAGGCGATTCTCATCAGTTCACTGGTCATAGTCGGACCCTTCCTTATTGTCGGAAACTCCCATATAGTCCCTATAAACCCTAAGGCCGAGACCCTGAACCCTAAACCCCTTTTCGGAAATTCCCATATAGTTCGGAAACTCCCATATAGTCCGTATGTTCACTGAAGCAGCACATGTATAGCAACCCATCAGGGATCATCCTTAGACGTTCTTGTGCCCGTCTTCATCCCAGATCTCCGCACTTGACAGATTTCTAAGTAACCTTGGGGCTTGAAATTACTAGGGTTTGGGGGTCTGGGCTTTAGGCTCAACTTTGGTAGTTGTACAGGGTTTAGGGTTTAGGGTTTCTCACTACCTAGACTAGACTGACCGATGTACATTTTCAACAGGAAGCGAAACCATGACGACGAGTATGTATCCTTCTTTCTCAATCACCTTGGTACTTCTCTGTAAGTCTGCAACCGTAGCCAAATCATTCATACATCCCTCTAGTCTCCAGAGCTTGACTTAGGAGCCCAGTAGGTAAACTTTAAACTTTTTGGGCATATTAAGCCCCCTACTAATAGCAAAGTTTAAACTTTTTTGAGCCAGGGTACTGGGCTTCAAGGTTAAGCCCACCTTAAGGCTTTAACCGCACCCTACACAGCCTGATTTTTGCATCTAGTAGTTTCCGAAAATAGGGGACATTAATACCGTACCCTGAATCGTAGTATTTTTCATTATGAGGACCCCAGAATAAGGTACCCCTTATGTTTGGAATTTCCCATCTGGGGTAGTTCTGCCAAAAAAAACAGCCCCGCTTTAATAACCCACGAGAAGGCGGCACCCTGATCACCAGGACCCTAGTAGGGACCTTAATTTAGAGAACGACCCATCTAGATATCTAGGGTCCTGAGCAGCACCCTTTTGCCCTTTTTGTTGTATGACTCCCTTTTTAAAGCTCTGAATAATTGCAAGAAGGGTACTCTTATTATTAAGGGGTCACTCAGGAACCTAGATATGCCTACACTATAGGCTCTACAAACTCTAAACCTCCAGGGTACTTAGAAGGCTTTAGGGTTTGGGGTCTAGCGGTACTTATAAGAACCCCGAGAGCAAATGGCGGCGGATTTGATGGCAGCTCCCTCCGTGCCGACGCGGCAGTGCCGCAACCGAGCGTGGGCCTTCGACCAGGAGTTGCAGCCGAGTTCTCCAAGAGTCACTTTTTTTGTTTTTTTTCGGTTTTTGTTTTTTTAGGGTTTAGGGTTTAGGGTTTTAATTAAGGGGTTTTCAGGGCTTTATAAGGGTACAAAAGGGTTTAGGGTTTAAGGTTTAAGTTCCCATGGAGAACCCTTTTGCCCTTTTCGGTTCTGGGTTCCCTTATTGAAAACCAAGCAGTAAGAAAAAGAGTGCCCTTATTACTAAGGGGCTACTGGGCTCGTTGTAGCCCGAAGGGTCCTAAGCACCTATACTGCGGCAGGACGAAAGTTCGTCGCACTC